CTGAGTTGTTCATACTGTATTTTGTTAATTAATAATGAATAAGGCCGAAGATGAACTGTGTAGAGTGGTCTAAAATCGCCTTCTTCTGTCTCAGCTAACCCTTCTTCCACAACTCTTCTACTTACCTACTCTCAAATAGAGAATTAAGCTCAATATGTGATTTTCAACCTTGCTATTCTAACCATAATTTCCAAATCAAGAGTGTGTCTTCACCTGTACATCACTTTGCAGTTGTGCTCAAGAATTCTCTTAGAGACCAGCCAAGCAAGTTATTAATAAATGAGGTCCGTATTTATTTAGATATGTACGACCTGGGAGCCAGTATAAATTTCTATATGATTCATGGTGGAACGAATTTCGGATTTTGGAATGGAGCTGAACCTAATGCTCCGGTGCTTATTCTCTTCGTAACCTCTGAAGTAATCTTCGTACTCCGAAAAAATGAAAATTGCAGTGCATTACGTCTTACGACTACTTCGCTCCCATATCGGAGGCTGGAGACGTGACATCTAAGTATCTGGCAATAAGAGCCTGGATAAAGGGTTTGAAAGACTGGAAGAATAAACCATTGGATGTTCCTGAAAACAATCCGTAGGTTTTAGACTAGGTACCTTTTAAGGTAGCAGACAATGTAATGATTACTGAGGAATGAAGAATGTCAACTAATCATTAACACAATATTAAATAGGATTCATAAAAAGTCTTTTCATCTCTTTCAGGAAAACGGCGTATGGAGAAGTAAAGATGGTCCCCGTAGATGGACTCTACCATCCACCAAATGAGGAAAACTGCATTACTGCCGCTTCACCCATGTCTTTTGAACAACTCAACCAGCCATTCGGCTTTGTGCTCTACACCAGGGTAGAAAAGAAGACTTTAAAGTTATTATCACTGTATCAATTCGATATCTTTAGAAAATGGAAATTTGCGGTAAAAGACTTTTGGTGAAGCAGCTTAAGGATTTTGGATTCGTCACAATCAACAAGATGGCTCTGGTGCTTGGAAGACTAAT